GGTTCAAACGTCCATGAGTGTCATAACAAACATTCAATACTGATGTAACACGGTCATTGACGGCTGAACTTTGTACACTGGTCACCTCTCTTTGACTTTATCTGGAACTTGACGGTTGTTTACGAGCTACTTACCGTTTCGCACTAAAGATGCCATCTTGAACTGTGCCGCAAGGTATGCAACGTATGCTCGATGAGTAAATCAGCACACAAATGTTGATTTGTCTTTTGCTCTCTATTTGAGCTAAACTGCTCACCGATACGTTTCAATATATCCGTCTTCCTTGTTCTGAAAGCTGCCCTTTACTCAATTCACAATATCAGTATTCCACACCATTTATCATCGAGGAGTTTGCGAAGGAATTTCAATTGTTGTTCTAATGCCATTATTATTGTAGTAAACATACAGAGGATCACGGGAAACCGTCATGTAAGCCCAAGGAAACCAGCTGAGTAACTAGCCATTGATGGCTTTTCTTTGTTGTTTCGGACGTTGGTGTAGTTTCCTTCAAATAACCAGCAGTTTTTGGCTGCGCTTATAAGAAAAACTACTTAAGTGATCAGTGCACCGGGTTGAGGGACTGGTACGTTCAGAGATGGAATACTTAGTAGTAAAGACCAAATACTGGAACTAGAGGTTCATGATAAATACATTTGCGCTGCTCTATCGATATAGCATCAAGAATACATGCGGAATAAGGTCATTTATTATTACGCATTTTCAAAGTAGTTTAGTCTTGCGACGTTCTATTCAAGCGAGGTGTGTTCTAGAAACGTGTGCAATATGCAATGATTTATGACGGCGAAACACGCGATTGCTTGACAAGTCCCGTAGGATGACCAGAGTGAGGATTATGGAAGCAAAGGTAAAAATAACATGATAAAGGCGGAAATTGGGTTTTAAGTGACTCACCAAGCTAGTCACATAAACATTGATGTCGGTTTCTTCACCGTTATGCGACGGAAACGGCTGGTGAGTATATGGTTTGGTTTGAGTAATTTCGTCCTCTGAGTGAAACGGACTATATCACGTAATGCAAGTGACCTAATGTGTCACCAAGGCGTATTATGAGAAGGGACAAGGGACTACTTTAATTCCAATAGGGATTTTGTATCGACTATTTTCTTGAGTAAACTGCTCCAATATTCCACCACGCGATCCTCTAAGCACAGCGTGTGAACTATCCGCTTCATATCCGTTGCTACAAGTTTGTACTGGTGTCCGCAAATGCTGCTTGGTGTGCGCATGTCCAGAATCGGTTTCAGCACAGATCTTATATAATATACGGCGGGTCATTAAGAGGTCCACTCAAAACCGACAATACAACAGAATGTTCAGCCCCAGCTTCTGCATCGGTCTTGGTACGACACCCCGTAAACTGGGGATGAGCTTCGTAGCTACCTGCCGAACACGTTCCAGTTTCTACACCTCGTCAAGAGTGATCGGACAATACTCGAGCGGACGTACGATACCAATGTGTTGAAGTAACGACCTGGTCCCTTATTACGTTGGACGTCAAAAACGGTTCTATCACGTTTAACCAGCATTTATTAGGTCCATCTTGTGATTAACCTAACATCCTGTTAAACCCCATAGCAAGCTACCAGGTTAACTGATATGCCTGCATCATGATGACGCAGGATTCTCAACTGTGATGACCCCATAACACGAAAAGCGCTGTCGGTAGAGAAGGAATCCTTTTGTACTGAGACATTACATGCAGTACGATCATAAAGAAAGACAGATAGTAGCTGAATCACAACCGTACGGATCTTAGTTCATGGAGTGCACGTGGTGCAAAACACAAAGCAGCTACCAGAAAGTCAGTATGGTGTGAAGTACATAGGGGACCTGTGCATATATTACACTTGGTCAAGTGCGTAATATTCACAGTCTATAGTTTTCGTAGTTGAACGGATTGCGACAGGTGTTCTACCACTTTTTAACTGATGGTGGAAGGCGATCAGTAAAACTATGACCATCAAGCAGTGCCAAGAAGGCAACAGAGCAACCATTTGCTACGGGGAAAAACGTCAGTGGAACAGGTCCCACGGGATGGCCAGGATAAGAACAAAAAATATAGTGAGAAAAGGAAGGGCTTTGTTGCACCCACCAGTAGAGTTCCCGTTGAGGCATGGATAAAAAGGGCCTGCCTCGACTTTGCAGGGAAATAATAATTGGAGCATCACCTGTCTCCAATGTACACGAGCTATCTTTTGTAATGGAGGTGCGTTAGGGTAGCGTCGACGTGCCTTTTGTACGCGGATACTATGGGGCCAAAAGGACGTAATTATACAGTGTATTCAATAGCTGTCACACACGAAGGTAGAACAGCTTTTGGCGACATACTATCTGGTCGTTATGCGTGGCCAACTTGAGCTCGTGGCTTCTAGAGTTCATGCTGTGACCAAATTGAATAAGGTGACAGTAGACATAACTGGGATACATTAGAATCTCGTAGGTCATAATTTGGTCTCCCCATAGGCAGTACAGTTCTGGGGTCGTTAGCCTAAATTATTGTGGAGAATGAAACAATCCCTTTGTGTGCATAGTGGCTCTTCATAATGGAGTCTCGAGAGCCGCGAGACCATGCGTTTGCCGTAGCTTTCAGGTCTCAATAGCGTTTTCTACATGGGGCCTTGAATAGATCTAAAGCATCTGCGGCGAGCAAATGGACAAAATCACCCAATTTGCTTAAACAGAAGACTAACATGCCGTGTCCCAGTCTTTAATACCTTCTCAGAACATTCTGAACAACGGCGATCAGCCTGAATTCGTGCCACTAGGTAACGCTCCTGGGTGACCGTAAGATGTGGTCTCCAAGGTTATAGTTGCTGTTCTGCTAATGATGACTTTAAGATGGGGGCAGATAATGGAATGACTATTCATACGCACTGTCCTGGTCTCGTTGAAGTACATCATGATCTCCTAGATAAGCGATCATCTGAATATTCTAAGATCGTCAGCAACATGTAAACGATGTGAGGCGACCGGACACGTAAGAACACAATGAACAGACGCTGTTACAGCAAATACCAATGCAGAAATTCACAAAAGACATTAATCAGCGGTTGTCCTTGCGGCTGTTGCTACTGCAACTGAAGAAAATCACATATATACAAGGACAGGCTCCCTTAATCCGTACTTTCTAGCCCGTGAATGAGGATATGCAGGTGACCACAGGATTTGGAAGAGGTAAATAAAATCATCCCCCGCAGTTCTGTCCCGTGTTTCCGTCCAACTACCGTCCGTAATAAACAGGACAGTTGTGTGTGATTTGTGTCCCATGATGAGGCTGATGTTGCATTCATGATGCTTCTTCACCGCAGTTGGGCTAAACCAACTTACACTTAAACTAGGTCTTTTTAATGTGGATAAACTTCGTTACATTTTATTTGGTTTGTTCTGCGTACTTGATAATCTTCTCCCAACTTGCACACGTCGTTCATGCAAATTGTGGTAAACTTGCGTAATTGCATCGCGTGGTATTTTTTAAATAACTCAGAGATTTTATACTTATCACGGATTCACTTATAACCAACTTCTTCTATATGCTCATTCAGCGAGTATTTATGTCGTCATATGCGCTTACTTTATTCGATATTGGCATTTTGAGTGATTGGCTGTTGTTTGACATCCCAGGTGTGGCTGCGCTTGATGTGCATGTTGACAAGGTGCCTACCTGTCTATTACCCACTACCTCGTCCATCTGGTTCCAGGAGACAGTTGGTCGTTTCTGGAGCGGATGGGGTGCACGGTCCTTGTGGTCGTGCTAGGCTCGAAGAGTGGTTCCATGCACTCAGTGTGAAGCGGACTACGGTCCAGCCACCGCCTTGTGTGCACTTGATCTCTCAAATACAACTTGCTTGTGTTTGCCTGTGAAGGAGTGTGGGCCGGCTCCGTTGATGAAACGTGGCTCCCATTAGCATGCCTCCCTGTCTTATTCCTTCGGATTTACACTGTATATGGGGTGTGTGGATGGAGATGTGGGTGGTGCAGCGCAAGCCATCCATGGTCCCCCTGTAGGCGCAGGCGTCCTGTGGCTGGCCACAGTGTGACAGGCAAATGGAAACCGGATGCCGCCAACCATGTGTGTGATTTGTGCTGACTGAAACCGTGTTGCTTCGGTGTCGTGACCCAGCAACACTAGATGCGGAACCTAAGCTTCAGCAATGATTTCTTCCATTACCTATGAGAGCAGAGCGAGGAGAACCACTGCCCGATAGTTTGATGGTTCCGAGTGACTGCCAGTTTTAAAAATTAGCGTGTCTAGTCTATGTTTCTACATGGTAGTCGCCATTTGTTTGTACGAGCGTGTTTGGAAAGTGTGTAATGTAGACTGGGCTGATGTTGTTGCTGTCACCTTTAACGTTGTAAGTAATCAACGGAACTCATTTAGTTTCTGAAACAGTTACGAACGGACTGCTACAACTTGCAACAAATTGTACCCAGGAACTGTTACGGAAGCCACTGTTTAATACTTTTTACCGATCACCGCAACCGACTCTATAGGTTGTGCTGTTGTGCGTTGGTTAACTGTTCCCCTCCGGCTATTCAGCGTACCAAACATAGTTATAGAGTATGGTGATTATATCGTTTAGTCCTAGTGCAGTGTTTACCAATGGATTGTTGATCATGTGTTCCTCATTTGTAAGTGTGAGGTCCAGCACTGATGGTTTTGTCAGCTAACTGCCTAAAGGAAGGGGTACTGTGATTGTGCAGTAAGATAGTTGCGATAAATTATTGAAACTCGGTCCTATATGTTTCGCCAAGTGATACCGATAACTCTAGGTTGTGTACGTTGAAATCCCTTGAGAGAGGAATGTGGCTGAAACTTAAGGTTGTATTAAGACCAACAGAACCGCCTTTGATAATATTCACAAATGAAAGAAGACTACCAACCGGTGTTCGAAAGCAGTTTAATAAACAAGTGGCATCCGTTTTGCCTTTTAGAGGCCAATCAAAAGTACGCAATCAAAAGTAGTACAAAATGGACTTACCGACTTGCCTAAAAGATCCGAGGCCGATATGCTCATCCGCTTGGCCAATCCACTCACAGGATATCGAGAACGCAGATCAGCAAGCGGTTTCGTGACCTGTAAGAGTTAAACGACGTTAGAGTTAACTACGGTGTTATTGTCCACACACTTAAAACAGGAGTAAAATCAACTTGGGCGGGAATCAGGTGCATCCCTGTTAATCAGTTGTATTCGGTATAGATATGTTTGCACTGTGAAGGGTTCAACGTAGCTCCTGAATTGAGCGTTCGTCTGCCGTAACGGTTCTGCACTCGTATGAGTTGATGTCCACTACGGAAAGTTTGAAATTACGTTTACTTTAGAAATGCCTATTAATAGCAATAGGACGCGACAGATAGTTGAGTGTATAGGATAAAACAGGCTTACGAAAACAAAACTTATAATTTCACCGAATTTGTCAAACAGGAAAAACTAGATTGGCAAGCGCATTACCAACAACGACGCAGCTTATTGGACTCGAAGTGCTTGCCCCTGTGGATGGACAGTGTGTGACGTTCAGCGAAAACACTACCCCCAATTGATTGCCAAGGGCGTAATCCTCTGGTTGGATCTAGTAATAGTATGCTACCTAAGGTCGCAGCTACCCTAATTGCATGGTAACCGCCTTACTAGGGAACAGATATTGCTTCTACATTCCAGGTGGTGAAATAGTGTGTGAACGTTGACGGAACTTTCAAATGTTCCACCTCTAAAATGTGGTAAATTCCTGGGACTGACACCTGATCCTGTAATTATTTTTCAGCTGTAGTCTTGTTAAAACGGTTAGCAACCTCATTTTTAGGTATGAAGTATACAGTATGAGCCCAAGGTACCAGGGCCTTCGCAATCCAATAGGAGTCAGCGTGTCACTGCCAACGATTCACAGAATAACAAGTTCCAGCAGCATAAATAAACCAAGTGCTGGACGCCTTAATAACTCGTTTTAAACCGTTTAACTACACTTCATCTGTTATCCTCCAAAGACGAAATAACGCAAAACAGTGTGCCCATCATCCGTCTCCACTACATAGCGGTGAACAGACCAGCATATACCTTCAGGCGAATAACACGGTGAGTCACCTTTAATCAGAATTTTCCCTATGTTCTTGTCACTTTAAGCTTTTATTTTATAATCCTCACCGTCTGTTATAAATCATTGTTCATTGAGCCATATTTCATCAATTGACACAGGCATAGCAAGTGAAATGTTGCCTATGCCAATCCTGTAACCTGCCAAATCTTGAGCACAATTACCCCAGACATAAGGTTTTTTGTTAAAGTTAGGCTTTGAGGTGACTCAAGGCCTTGAGTGAATTAGAGGTGGAGTGGTCGTTCTATATGGTAAGCTTCAAGCCTCAATGACGCAATACTAGTTACTGCAACGGAGGCACAGTGGTGTAGCAGAGACGGAAAATCGCTACCAGACATGTATGCACTTTCAGGGCGATTAGAGATTAATAGTCACATAAGATTGCATACATCAAATTCACTCAGTGGACGGCGCCGGTGCCTTCGTTCCGGCGTAATGATAGCAAACTGCATCACGAACACCGTTCTACGCATTGGAATGTAATGTAACCTTTCACTAAATTACTTGATAGTCTAGAGTTCGATTGTTGGGTCATTTCGTGCGTTGGAACACCACCAGTGCTTCGTTATCTCTCCAATGAACGCGGACTCTGTTGTTGTAGTGAGTGTGCAGAAGAGCGGTTGGGTGGTGTATCGCACCAGACGAATTGCAATGAAGCTGCAACCAAGAATCTGGATATAACATCGTATGCGCTTCAGTTCCTGATTGGTCCTTCCGGGATCGCACTGATTCACTGAAGGGGAATGTAGACTACACCGAATGTCACGTTTCACACCCTTATTTGTTCCGATAGTTCCACTAGTAAGCCAGCCGAATGAGGATATGATGGACATAAGCATGCCTGCACTATGGGGCATGCAAGTCTCATACCTTCATATCTGTAGGAGATTACTGTTCTACTGTGCTGCTAATCCGGCCTTCTGTCGACATATTTGTTGAAAACTAACTGCGGGTTTATAAGCACATGATTTCATACTTGCAGTTGCCAAATACCTGTGCCTCCTTTTTGGCAGAGTGCTTTTGTACCGCGACCAGACTAGGTATTATTTTACTGATTAATCTGAGGCGAGCACTGAGCTGATTTATGTGCTTCAGAATTAGTATTACACACTTATTCACAATTGCTAGTGCAATTTACGCAGAAACCGTGAGCTCGATACGAAACCACGTTTGTCCAAGTGGAGAATTCGTAGCTCTAGACGTCACTGAATGACTGCAAGCTGTGAGTATCCAAGCACACCATGAACTTCCATACAGACTAAAAGCCACAACCCACTGGGGAGGTGCTATCTATTGTTTCCAGCATTGCTTAAGGAACGCAGCAGCAAAATGGTCAAAGTGGAAGCGAAATTAATTAGTTGAATTACAACTGAATTCTAAATAGGTTAAGACAGTTCGTTTCATTGCTGTCTATTTAAGCGAGAAGCACAGACAGCGCCTATAACTGGGATCCGGACACAGTGACCAAGCTAAGTGAGGCCTGGCCTAAAGTAAACCTGGCTTATAGATGCGAATGAGTAAGACAATTTGAGTAGCAAGTCGAACGATTCCAAAGTACGAAACTAATCATAAGTCCCAGACCAAAAGTTGTTGGTTCAGCTTAGCGGGACAGTTGCAAACGAATTAGAAGCCAAGCGAGCGGTTGTGAGTTGGAACTCCGGTCAGAACCTATCAACCCAAGGGGCACAATCAAGAGCATGGGGAAAAAGAGATGAACTGCTGTATGAGACATGTAAAAAATTTCCAGATTTCGATGCATTACCCTGTTCATTAACCCGGAAAACTATATTCCATATGCTGCTAGTCGCATCTGTTCCATACAATGCTAATGACCCTGCGCATGCGATCGCGTCAAACTTCATACCTTACACTTACGTTGTTATGATACTGAGAGAGATTGCTAGCCCAGAAGCGTAAAAGTTTGTTTAGCAAATATCTGGATAGTCTTGATAAATGTACGAGAAAACATTTATTCAACTTTACTGCAGACTGAAGCAATGTAGTCATTGAGGGGTATGGTCCCAAGAGCGCATAAAGAAAGGAGGACCACATGAAAATGTACGGAACCGGTACTTATTCCGTTGTTATTTGGCATCTGGCGTCCGGCATAACTGACCCCGGTATCTCCTCGAAAATATCTGAACCTTTTGTTGTTTCATATAAAACATGGCATTCAGGTAAAACAGCAGGGGCAGTAACGAATTCGCGCTGCGGTCGAGAGTTCACAGCAAGGAGTGAGCAAGCATTCTGCGGACTTGTACTATTTCCCACACCAAATTTGACTAATAAAATTATACATTGGAAAGCGTCATCGTCTGCAGGGGGACTTTATAATGACGTAGTAGAGTTTTAAGAAACCAACAATGAATGCCGATATTAAAAAATAAGTTCCCTTCAGAAGCTTGAACAACGAAATGAGAACACGAATATAGGTAGAAGCTAGCATTTTGTATTCCCGTCAACACCAATACAATAACAGGGAAATGTGTTTATAAGTCTTATAGCACACAGTCAAGACAATCAGATTTATGGTTGTGGTCATTGTTGTTAACATTAGGACCACGCAACCGCATGTTGACAACTAATTGCCTTTGAAAACATAAAGCTGGTCTAATTCGGCTTATCGCAACGGCCTCGGCAAATCGCAATAGATGTTAATTTGCATGAAGCAACAAGATCCGGAACGCCCATAAGCGATTAATCCGGTGACGAGTCGCCAAGATGTGCCTGCCTATGGAGGACGCCGACGTCTTACGCGAGCACGTATCGTCGGAAGTGGATTGGGTAACTTCGCGTTGAACCCAGTTTGGTAAGTGTTCCTTCACTCTGGAATCTAAAGCCCGTTCGGTTCTGTTGTCGCAGTCACATACGAATTGGTAAACACAATGTGATTTGGCGCCGACGGGGTGATCTTCCTTTAATGAACGTAACGACGAGTTTCGGGTTCTGTTGATAATTACCGCCTCCGCAGCACAGTACGTACGCTGAATTGCCGAGACTATGCGCTTAGTTGTCCTTTTTGCTTCGGTGTCACCCTTGAATGGCAGCTCGAAGTATACCTTTTTCTTTGGGGCTGTTAACACCATTTCTTTAGGCGGTCTAACTTCGCTATGTTTGACTATGAATCGCTTTGGGTAGCCATTCTCCATAAGCGTTTTAGTGATCAGTTCAAACTACTCAGCTAGGCAGTCGTTGGAGAAGATTTGTCTGGCCCGAGTGAACAAGGTGTTCACCAGCGCGCGCTTGTGTGCCATCGGTGAGAAGCTGGTGAAGTGTAGGTATTGGCCGGACCATGTTGGTTTCCGGTATACAGATCGCTTAAGGAGCTCATTATCTCTGCGACTCATGAAAATATCGAGATATGATAGATGCCCATTCGATTGAAATTCAAAAGTCACCTTCGCATTGGCGTGAACACTATTAAGGTGGTCTACTAATCGTTCGATATGCATCCTCGTGGAACCGAAAACAAGCATATCATCTACATATCGTTTCTAATACGGCAGCTGAAAAAGCTCTTCAGTCAGTTTCCTTTCGAGCATCAGCATGAAATAATCAGCCAGTACTGGGCCTAACGGACTATCCCCGGCCATTCCATCAGTCTGGCGATATGAAGTGTGCTGGAATCGGAAAGCGACATTCTCTGTGTAAAGTAACAGGAACTGTCTCATGAGGTCTGCCGGTATTTGGTCGACGAAAATTCTCCTCTTCTACCAGGTGGTAAATGTAAGCAACTGTCTCCAGCAAAGGGACATTAGTAAATAACGACTAGACATCCACTGAACACATACCCCTGCCGGCTAGGCTGATTTGGTCTAGGTCTTCGATTATTTCAAGAGTCCATAATATTGTGCAAATTGAAGTGTTGCCTCAGTGGCGCAAGGATCCGAACTAACCAGCGAGCCAATTTATGCTGCGGGGAATTTACCATCGACAAAATGGGTCTTAGTGGCTTGTCCTGCTTGTGAATTTTTGGTAACCCGTACAGTTCTGCTGTCGATGAGCCGCTCGGCTCCAAGTGCTTGTAAGTGGTTGGGTCAATCAAATGACGTAAGAGAAGCGTTTCAAGGTGTCGTGTTATACGAGACTCTACCTCCGTCAGACTTTTTCTCCGGTCGATGCGTTGCAACATGCTTTCGTCACTTAGAATGTTTAGTATTTTTTACGTAATCGCTCTTGTTCATGCAAACTACTCCTGAACCTTTGTCCGGATTTAGTAGAACCGCTCACTTCATTAAAGGAAGATGAATTCATCGGCGCCAAATCATATTGTGTTTACCAATTCGTATGTGACTGCGACAACAGTTACATCGGCAGAACCGAACGGGCTTTAGATTCCAGAGTGAAGGAACACTTACCAAACTGGGTTCAGCGCGAAGTTACCCAATCCACGTCCGACAATAAGTGCTCGCGTAAGCCGCCGGCGTCCTCCATAGGCAGGCACATCTTGGCGACTCGTCACCGGATTAATCGCTTATGGGCGTTCCGGATCTTGTTGCTTCATGCAAATTAACATCTATTGCGATTTGCCGAGGCCGTTGCGATATGCCGAATTAGACCAGCTTTAAATAAATAAATGAATAAATGAATAAATTGTTCATTCTTAGGCAATGCGAGGCAAGCCTATGTAGGTATGATCATGTTCAAGGTAGAAATATATGTCGGGGTAGGTATACAAAAGGGTGCAAGTTAACTATGAACATTAGAGCTGTGAGTTCATACATGTATGTGGGAGTGCATGTGCCTATCAGCACATGCCCTGCAATTGTGATTGATCGGGTGGATTGTGTGAGAAGGGTTGAGTGACTTCCGTGGTGGGAGTGTAGTTGGTTGGGTAATCATGGGGCCGTGACTTTAGTTGGAGGCGAGTCACATCCGCCTCGTCACAGTGCTTTGTGTGTTCAAAAGCAATTAGTTGTCAACGTGCGGTTTCCGTGGTCCTAATGTTAACAACAATGACCATAACCATAAATTTGATTGTCTTGACTGTGTCCTATAAGACTTAAAAAAACATTTCCCTGTTATTGTATTGGTACTGAGGAGGTAATACGAAATGCTAACATCTGCTAATATTGCCCGAAACTCGGTTTCAGTAAACCGGAGGAGCACCTTATAAGACTAATCGTGCAGAAACAGTTGCTAGAGTTGTTTGGGAATACTTTCAATTCGTTGAGCATGTACATGGGTAACTGAATAATTACATGACGTTATGTGGCTTTTGGTCATTCAAATTTAACGTAACGCAAACATGCAAAGTCTTATTAGCCTTCTCTACAAGATCAAGTGTGTAGCTATGTTTATGTAGATACTATACGGAGTCCAATGGTATGGGATTACCTTTATTGTAATGCTTATATTTGTTTCTGCTCTTCTTGCCCTAACTATGCTACAATAATTCCTAAGTTTTGATATTTTGACCACAATAAAATGTTGCCCTATTGTTTCAGTTTTTATGTTAAGGAGTTTGTCTATCATTCACAGTAGAACTGGTCAAATTAAGCTCGATTGCAGCGTAGCTTTGGCATACAACCATTTAGTAAAACGTGATATGTGGAGCACATGAGTTACGCGAATTAACTCAAACAGGCATGCGAAATGTTAAAATGGTTTTCCCATTGTGGAAGCTACTGACATATTGTGATCGCCTTCACTTTCCATTCCTATCTTCATATTCGTCCTACCGCTAGCTTTAGTGACATTTTGTAAGGAATAAGATGTAGCTTGGAAATGGAGTCCGTCCTCCTAGTTTGAAGATGCGTTATCAACTAACTGATAAGCTTTACGTCAGCAAACAAGAAAGCATCATGTCTCGCTGGGGTTTTTGCTTTGTTCTGCTTTGATTACAACAGACTTGAGATCCTCACATCATCAACCAGAAATCGGTGAATTATTCGCGACCCTAAGTAGTGTATACAATGTCTTCCATAGCGCCACTGATGAAACCTACCAAAACCTCGTCGTCTCTCAAAGCTGGATGCTCCTTTACAGTATGCAATGGGGCGGATCGTCTGGGTGGTATAGGCGGCTGTACTTCACTGTCTCTGCTGTCAGTGTGAACCACAGAGCTTCGCATATTTCCGTTGAAGCGCGGGCTATTTTGGCCGTATCGGTACGGTTGGGAAGATTTTGTGCGAGTCACGTTCGGTGGCTCCTGGACTCGCTCAGGTTGTCTATCCCATGGACGACTGATACGTTTTGGAACGGCCGGTGGACGATCCACTTCATCAAGCTGAACTAAACATAGATAAAAAGGTATACTGTCTGGTTTCGTCTTCCAGTTTGAAAGGATTATTTCTGTAGGATGTATGAATAAGTTCAAAACAGATTCGTTAGGGAAATTGAACATCTTTCTAGATATGAGGTGGTTACCTGATTGAGAGGATATTGCACGAATCTCTTCTGAACTACGGCTTCCAACAAGACCACCTTGGAGAGAAATAGAAAGTAACGAACACAGTCGAAAGCAAATACAAAAAAATTGGAACACTGCGTTCTCCATTACGACTGACATACGTCCTTTGTCCGCAGGAAGGATAACGATTGACTCGTCGGGTCTCAGAGCTTTCACTACGCTTTGCTCTTGTTGAGATAAGGCATTCTGTTGCTTGACATGTGTCATGGCAGGGACGATAATGTGTCGGATTTGCTCATGAACCTCTTCTTCAAGTCCAATTGACCGTAGAGCCTTTTCGAATTCCGCTAAAACTCCGTGGTTGCCGCGTCTTTTAAATTGTAGTTCAATCCTTTGGTGAATATCTGTTGCTCTGTCTCCCTGATCGGTCGTTTAGAAAAGTTCCTGATCCAGGGATCGTTTTCATTTCCGTATTGGCGGATGGTCAATTTTGATATCTTTCCATGGAGCGCAGTCTGCTTCTTCATTCCGGCAATGTTTTCTCTGCTTTCGATTGCTAACTGCAGTTGTTCTGTCAGTCGTTGTCCCACGGTTTGCATGGTACTCCCCTAATAATTCGATCAACATGCGCATCGACACCTACCTCGTGTACCATCAGCTCAGAAAGAAAGATCTCCAGCGAATAGAAAGACATGGTTCAGCCGCGGAAGCAAATGGGCAGAGATCACGTTTCGCAAATCGAAATTGCCATCTTCAAAAGTCACCTGCCCGTCGATCACGGACTGACGCTTCCATAAGCAGGAGTTTACACTGCATATCACCGCACTGAAGATGCCACCTCACATGGTGGTGAAACGTATGCAATGCTTTTATCAAACGCGGAGAAAAGATCAACAGGAGAACAACCAACCCTGGCTACCAGTGTTGCAAATTATTTTGAATACTTACGGGCGCTCAACGCTACGTTCCGCTCGCCGTTGGGAGGATTTTGCTTGCCTACAAGCCTCTACAAAGCAGCAGCTAGCTTCCCACCATGATTGTTTGCGAAAAGACGTTCTTCCCCACAGTGTCAACTACAGACTGCCGTTAAACCATCCCAGGGATTGGGATGTTGCGCGTCAGTTCGGAAAACGCGTGATACGAATAATGATCACGGTCGCTCACAGCCGTATCAAGAAATATGAAAGATGTCTGGATGTAGAACAGGCCACTTGTTTGCAAAGCGTAAGGCAACAACAACTGACTGAACAACTACAGTTAGCAATCGAAAGCAGAGAAAACAATGCCGGAATGAAGAAGTAGACTGCGCTCCATGGAAAGATGTCAAAATTGACCATCCGCCAATACGGAAATGAAAACGATCCCTGGATCAGGAACTTTTCTAAACGACCGATCAGGGAGACAGAGCAACAGATATTCACCAAAGGATTGAACTACAATTTAAAAGACGCGGCAACCACGGAGTTTTAGCGGAATTCGAAAAGGCTCTACGGTCAATTGGACTTGAAGAAGAGGTTCATGAGCAAATCCGACACATTATCGTCCCTGCCATGACACATGTCAAGCAACAGTATGCCTTATCTCAACAAGAGCAAAGCGTAGTGAAAGCTCTGAGACCCGACGAGTCAATCGTTATCCTTCCTGCGGACAAAGGACGTATGACAGGTAGATTATATTGAGAAAGCAAAACGACTCCTGAACGATACAACCACATACATGCGCATTAATTACGAGCCGATATTGCAGCTAACAAAGAAAATAAACAAAATATTGCATGAACTACAACAGTTAAGAGATTACAGAAATTGTAGGGAATCAAATAAGAGCTCGTGACGCGAACATCGCACTATTCTACCTGCTTCCAAAGTACACAGAGGGTGCTCCGTGGCGGCCAACTGTTTCACTTCCAGGTACACCCCCCTGCAACCTGGCAAAGGATTTGTGGAGGAGCCTCAAACATTTACTCAACGGATCGAAACATTCCAGAAACAACGCCAAGCAATTTTTAGAGAAGCTTAAGAACCTGCATATAGATCAAGACGAAACGATGATCTCCTTTGACGTCACCGCTTTATTCACAGCTGTCAAACTGCAAGTGGCAAAAGAAGCCATCATAGAACGCCGGAACAACAGCGAAGAGAAAATTGGGTGTATGACGACCGCAAGCATTTGCGAGCTCCTCCAACTATACCTCACAAATTACTTCTCGTTCAACGGAGAGATCTATGAGCAAGTGAAGCGGGCATCGGTGGGATCACCAGTAACAGGTCTGATCGCTGAGATCGTCATGCAAAAGTTGGAAGAAGATCTACTACCAGCTATTAACCCGAAGTTGTGGGTACGCTATGTCGACGATACATTTGTAATACTGAAACGCAGTGAAGTAGCACTCGCACATCAACTGCACAACAATGCAATGGATGGGATTCAGTTTACAATGGAGTTAGAGACAGAAAACATGCTCCCATTCTTGGATATGTTGGTGACCAGAACAAAGAATGGTGAATTTCAAACATCCGTTCACAGGAAAGGCACAAATACGGAAAAAATTTTGAACTTCAAATGCAACCGCCCAAAGTGCCACAAAAGATGCTACATGCAGGCACTATTTCGCAGGATTAAAACACACTACAGTACAGTGGAAGCCGAACGGGAAGAGGATAAACACCTATACCATTTAGTTGACTGCAATGGATACCCACGCAGCTTCATCCGCAAATGTCTAAACCACAAACGTACAAACACTGAGCCGATATTAAATGCAAGCAAGAGGGTCGTTTTGCCGTATATGAAGAACATATCTGAAATGACTGCTAGATTGCTCAAACAACACCGTATAGTGGTCGCTCACAAGCCAACCGCTACTTTGGGAAGAATACTGTCAAACTCAAAGGACATTCGGAAAGCACAAGAAGGAACAAACGTCGTGTATAAAATAAACTGCAATAATTGTGAAATGAACTATGTGGGACAGACAGGAAGAAAAGTATCCACAAAAATATAAGAACATCAGAGGACTTGTAAAAACATTATGCATTGTCTCTTGTTGCAGCGCATGTGGATGAGGAGGAACATAACTGCAATTGGAACATAACGGAGGTTCTAGCTCAAACAACAACAAGGAAAGGAATAGAATTCCTAAAAGCATGGTACTCATCTAATAACGATCAACATGCGCATCGGCATCGACCCTGTGTACCATCAGCTCAGAAAGAAAGATCTCCAGCGAATAGAAAGACATGGTTCAGCCGCGGAAGCAAATGGGCAGAGATCACGTTTCGCAAATCGAAATTGCCATCTTCAAAAGTCACCTGCCCGTCGATCACGGACTGACGATTCCATAACCAGGGTTGTACGCAGGGTATCATAGTACTGAAGATGCCACCTCGCATGGTGGTGCAACGTATGCAATCCCTTTTTCAAGCTCGGAGAAACGAGCAAGAGGTGGGCAAATATCAAATTAAGCCTTAAGCTAGTACCGAACTAGTTCAGCCGAATGTCTGCCACACATCATCAGTATGGTCAGTGCTCTGGAACGGGGTTGGGTCGGCTTATTCGTTAGTACGACCATAAATGTGCCAGCAGTTATGTTGCGTGAGTGAAGGCTTCGTGTGGTGACTCTAGTGGGCCTTTATTTTTTATTATTGCGTCTTCTAGGAAGATGTGCTTTGTAGGCCTGATGCGTAAAGCCCATATATACACAGGTGGGTATTTATTAATAATAAATTAACATGATAAATGACTACTAGGTCCTCTAATATTCAGTTGTGTACTTTTTATACTATTCAGCTAGTCATAGTGTCTGCACTTTCAGTAGTGTGTTCTTGATGTTAAGACGGGATTTATTTGCTTAAATGAAGTATGTTGCAATCAACGTTTCCAGACAGCCTACTAGGTGAGTTTAGTGAACCTCACAGGGTAATTCAATGCAATCATAAAATCCCAAGATGACACAGTTTGTTTACGCATCTGGAACCGATGTATTGAAACTGCCTTTTTCCGCGCTGAACGCTAATGTCTCCCGAGGTTAACAACTAGAAATGCGGTCACTTTGGGGAAAAGACTAGGGAACGATAACAGTACGAGAAGTTACAGTGGGAATGCGTTAATTGTGTGTATCTGAATGATCACAAAAGCCATATTAATATTGACAATACTTATGGAACTTAACTACACCATCATTTATGTGAGTTTGCTCGGTCATAGAACAAGGATTTTAGTTTTATGTAAGCGTATAACTCCAACAGGATGAGTCAATTTCATTGCTTGTTTAGTTGCAGAGAGGGCGAAATGACCAAAGCCGCTTAATAAAATTTTAAAGCATTGTAAGTGGGCAGCCAAAAGACTGCATGAGATTTTTACTGAAATGTTGAGATTACTAGGTAAAATCATGGAATCGCACCACAAACTCAGTATTAGTTTTCTGGATCGCTTTAAACTATGGTGCTTTACCGAGTGCTTTCATACAGGATTTTTAAGCTGAATTCCTGAAAGCAAAAGACTTGCAAATATGCCAACGCAATTGTGTGTTAACACCTATTTGATTTCAAAATAAGTTTGCATAATTCAGTGGATATTCTGGGTCGCTGTATCTGGTTGTGACTGATAGAAAGCAGCTCATAATATGGGCAACAAAGAAAATGAATTGCAGATAGAAAGATGAGGGTGTAGTAACAATAGCCCAAACCTAAACAAAATGATACCTCATAAAAAACCATATTTGAATCTAGAAGATATCATTGTCTTTCTTCAAGCGCCAATACCACTCATTATTTTATTTATATTACGCTATACAAGATTGAACTCACACTGTCACGATGTGTCATCGTTTGGAGAAAAGACGCATCGCGACACCGAGTGGGAAAACTTTTCAGATCGAATGTCAAAATTCCCGGGATAATAAAATTTCGTTTTTCATGAATGGAATGTATTACATATTAAATGAACGGGAGGATTTATGCTGAAAACGGAAGATTTGATCTGGTGAATATTATTCTTCTGATTTCATAGAGTCCATGCTTCCGGCTCCTCTAATGCTTAGTGGTGAAAATTAATTAACGTCTGATAGGTCTTT